TCTCTCTCATTGATGTTTCTCTCTCTCTCTCTCCCTCCCTCCCTCCCTCTCCCTCCCTCCCTCCCTCCCTCTCTCCTTCCTTCCCACTCTATCTGAAGATAAATGGAAAAAATAAATCACCAGCTTCCTACTTCTAATTCCCCACTGAACAAGCCCACCCAGAGGTCCCTCAGACTCCTGGTCTCATACCTCTTCCCACCTTGCGGGCCCTCCTTGGAGTACACGCTCACGTTCTCCCAGTTGTCCAAACATGGAAAACTCAGCCGTACTTCTCTCTCCCCCAATGTAGTGAGATGTCCAATCTTGTGGATTTTATCTCAGTAACATTTTTTGGTTCTCATTCCTTCTTACCTTTCGCCAGGATTATTTTAACAACCCCCTAACTAGTCTCCTTTGTTCCCTTATGCAATGCACCAAAGTCACCTTCATAAAGTACAGGTGATGTCATTCTGCGTGTTTGGTTCCCCGCCTGAATATAAAATAGGGTAGGATCTCCTTGGCTTGCTATTCACCAACTTCTCCAATCCGGCTCAATTTTCTCTCTCATTTTTAATCTTTTCAGATTTGCCTTTAATCTCTTCAGATTCTTCCTCTTTCACACCCCAAGCACAGCGATCCCCTTGTATTCCCAAATGTGGCCGTATTTCTTGCTTCCCAGATTTGGTTTCTGTGTTTCCTTCTCTACGAGTCTTTCCCCAAGCTCTGCCCAAACAAACATTAAGGAGGTGGATTGCAGTGTTCGTCTCTGTAAAAAGGATATAATAACTTTTGGGTCCAGGGGGGGACTTTCAATGAGATTCTGCCTCTTACAGAGAAAATGCTAAATAAACCTGAACTGGTAGTATTGTCACAACTCTTTTATAAAGCTGTGCCCAGCCTCACTGTGACTTTCCTGCCTTCCTGGGCTCTCTGTATTCTGGTGGGCATTTCATTATTCGGTATTTTATGTTTAAGTCTGTCCTCACACTTGAAAGCGATCCCCTGAGGAGCAGAAATCTTCTTATTTATTTCTGAATAGTGTCCCAGCACAGTTCCTAGAACTGAATTGAATGTAGGGAGAAGGTCTTGCTGCTGTCAACTCTGGAACAGCTGCGCCAAGTGGACAGGCAGCTATGTGGAAGCAGCGGACAGCTCTGAACCCCACCTTGGCCCTCACTGGTTGGTGATAATCTGTACACCGCGCTCCGTCTCCCCACCCCAGTTTCCTTATCCATACAAAGGGGGACATACTAATAGCCACCTCATAATGTCAGGGTGAGCTTATGTATGCCAAAGAAGTCGATGGGTTTTGCTTGTTTCTAAAATCTTAGTAGCCTGCTTCCCCCTTGTGGATAAAATTCAAATCGCATATTAAAATCAATCAAGATAAATAATCTAGGAACCAGAGGTTTATCTCAACATTGGGTTTTTTGTTGTTGTTTGTTTTTACTGAAAAATTGAAAACAAACTAGACCTCCAAATGGAGGCTTGGCTAAATATATTATGGTACACCAACGCAAGGGAATATTATCAAGCCGTTCAACTATAATGAAATAGATGTCTGTGGTATACTGCTAAGTAAAACCCTAGTTATAAACATATAAACGATGCCCCATTTTTGTAAATATCTAATGTTAATAGTGCTTATGTTGGGAGGTAAAATTCAGTTGCTTTTCACTTTCTTCTTTATTGTCGTATGTCTGAGTTCTTAACAATGAGCATGTATTGTTGCCATTAGAAACACGTAGCTCCTCTTATTGTGGGGAACCTATCAGTGAAACAAGGACCCCACTAATTACCTGTTGTGACAGGGAGAACTCTGAGTCATATTTTAAAAATACCTCATGCTCCAGTCAACGCGTGCACACATAGTAAACTAAGGTTGAGTTAACCCAAGATGCATGGACCTCACCGAGAGGCAGGCTCAACAGTCATTTTTCTGCTCCTTAGACCTGCTTCGTGCACAGTCCTGGGTGGGAGGAGGTGGGAATAGCAAGCCGAGGAGAATACAGGATCCCGGGCTGGAGTTCTGGGAACATCTCAGAAGTGGGCCGGTGGGAGCTGTGTATCCACTGTCCGAAGTCCTGAATCTGACCCTTTGTTCTCAGGATCTGTCGTCGTTATTGTTGTCAATCTGTTGAATTATGTAAACTTTCTGGTGCCGTCCAGATCCAAAATTCTATGGTCCTGTTTCCATGGTGCTGCGATTTTAAGATTCCAATCCATTGGTGGTTCGGTTGTCAAGGCAGTTACAGGCAGCCTTACTCTCTTCTCTGGGGTCTCCGGGGTCTGAGACCGCAGACATGGCTGGCTGGTATTCCTGAGCCAAGTGACGTCTTCTTACAGGAAACACAGCTCATTTGTAGGTCTGTGTGAACCACCTTATAAGGAGAAGACAGCCACGAAAACCACCCTGTACTCCATAAGACAGGCACGTTCCAGGGAGGAGAGAGGACATGGAAAAAAGCGCCCTGGGTAAGTATTTTTTAGAAAGAGAAGTAACCCATTGGCCACTAGACTCAGATGCCATTTGTGGGTTCTCCAGCATGGAGACAGTCAAGATTTTATATGCTGTTGACTCTATTATTTCAAGTAGTATCCCTCTTGTGAACATATTACATTACTATGGTACATCTGTTACAATAAATAAACCAATGTCGACATATTATTAGCAACTAAAGTCCATACTTGATTCAGATTTCTTTTGTTTTTATCTGATGTCCTTTTTCTGTTTCAGGATCCCATCCAGGATATTACATTACATTTAGCCACCAGGTTTCCTTAGGCCCCTCTTGGTAGTTTCTCTGACTTTCCTTGTTTTTATAACCTTCACAGTTTTGAGAAGTACTGGCCAGGTATTTTGTGGAACGTCCCTTACAAGGGACCCATTTTAGAATACAAGGTGTTGACTCTTTCCAAGGACCCAGGCTCGCTCTTCCAGGGAGTTATATACCATCAAGAAAGAAAAACAAAACAAAACTGGAGATCAACGAACACTTCTTGAATCCTACAGAGAACTGAGGTCACAGGACAAATCAATCGCTGCCCTAAAAACTATACAGAAAGGCAGATACTGAGAAGTTACTGGGCAGAAGCCCACCGGTGCAGCCAGGAACAGTGTAAGTGTTCTACCAATTCCTACAGCAATTGATGAATTGCTGGAGACTCAGTGTGAACTAGCGTAAGGGTTAAAAAGTCTGGAGTTCAGATTCAGGAGGGCTCCCAGAGGTTCTCACAGTGAAGATCAAGGAGAAGTTCCCCTCTGCTTCTGGCAGGGGGATCAGAAAAGGAACCATTCTGAAACACACCCAGCGCCTGCCCCAGTGTGGAACATCTGCCCTACAAACAGAGTTTGGGGAAGGAAATCAGGGCCAGTTTCATCGGTCTACCTTGCCCTGGGTTGAGCCTCTGCCGTACAGTCAGGAGCTGGGTTGGGAATGGGAGTTCAGTCTTCTCAGCTGCGGCTGACTGAACTTGAGCTTCTGTCATGGGGCCGGGTCGGATGGGTGAGCTGCTTACTACTTTGAGAATATTAGGCTTGAATGAGAAGATTCCCCTCCTTAATACGATCTGTCTTCTAAGTCACTTTATTTCACTGAAAAGGTTTATATCAGGTTGTTGATTCTCAAAGCCTTTTTTTTCTTTATTGATTTTAGAGAGAGGACGGGAGAGGGAGAGAGAGATAGAACATCGATGAGAGAGAACATCGACTGGCCGCCTCCTGCATGCCCCCCAGTGGGGATTTGGCCCACAACCTGGGCATGTGCCCTGACCGGGAACCGAACTGGTGACTTTTTGATTCATGGGTCGATGCTCAACCACTGAGCCACACCAGCCAGGCGATTCTCAAAGCCTTTAAAATAATTCTCTTACTCTTTGAAGTCTAGAAATAGTTGTTTAACTCTGTAAGGCCCCATATTTCTGGACCCTCCATTTGCTTTCATTTTTGCTTGTCAATCATTAACTTTTCCTGATTTTATCTCTTTCTCATAGTAGCTCCCCAAATTCAGAAAATATTACCAATATTCTATTTTCTAATATCTTCTAGAGCTGTCAGCACAGTGGGCGTATGTAGAGGAGACAATTCTACAAAATGTTTTGCCAGCTTGGCAACATCTTTCCAGCCTCTAACATCAGTTTTCTTATTGCCCAAGGGCTAGGCCAGTATCACATATTTTAGTTTTTGTTGTTGGAATTACACCTCTAGGACCAAACCCTAGACTCAGTGACTTAATATAAGGTCAGTGGAGCAATGGTTCTAGGCCCACAGCCTTATGAGAATGAACCAGAATGATGCACATGACCCCTCACCATCATGTCTCCATCTGTCATAGTCCTGAATCACTTCCTGGTCTGTTTTTCTAATTAGAATGTCTTTCTAATTATATCCTTGGCAAATATAAAAATAGCTAACATATTACGGGCATTATACATATATTATCTTGCATAATCCTTGCAACAACCCAACAAATTATGGTACCATTATCTCTAATTCACAGAAGAGAAAATGAGGCTCAAAGCAGATCTCGAACCTAAATCTATCTGGCTTCAGAACGAAAGCTCTTACACCCCCTCCTGCACGCCTCTCCCCCGAATTCCTAATTCTCTACTACAACTCATGTTAGGAGAATGAGGTTCCATTTATAATTCATAAAGAAGGACCAAGTTGATTTCTAATGCCATGGATATTCACATGGAAACTTACAGGATATTTATCCCCCACCATGGAATGAATTTTATTTTTTTTTAAGTAAACAATTATTTCTGCAAAGTATATCTCTATTTCTGAATTGTAAAATTCTCATGAAAGTATTTCTTCCTAATCGATCACAAGGTGAATTAGGAAATACCAAATAGACAGAAATGGTGTAGGGTACAGCAAGCCCCCTATCGTATTGTTGGATCATGCAGTTCTTACAGTTTATATATTCATATTTATTACGAACTCCAGTGAAAAGCCGTCACGTGTGCATTAGTTTGCTAGGGTTGCCGTAACAAAGTACCAGAGACCGGGTGGCTTAAACAGCAGACATTTATGTTCTCACAGTCCTGGGGATTGGAAGTCCAAGGTCAGGTGTTGGGGAGACCTCTCTCCTGGCTTGCAGATGGTCTCTTTCCACTGCCTCTTCATGCGGTCTTTCTGCTAGCACCCGTTTCACTGGTGTCTCTCCATGTGTCCTATCTCTTCCTCTCTTTCTTGAAAACATGTTTTTATTGATTTTTTAAGAGAGAGAGAGAGAGGAAGGGAGAGAGAAAGAAACATCAATCGGCTGCCTCCTGCACGCCCCCCACTGGGGATGGAACCTGAAACCCAGGTATGTGTCCTGACCGCGAATCAAACTGGGACCTCTCGGTCCATAGGATGACACTCAATCCACTGAGCCGTACTGTCCAGGCCTATCTCCTCTTCTTGTAAGGACACCAGTCAGATTGGGTCAGGGCCCACCCTAAGAGACTCATTTTAACTTAATTACTCTTAACAGGCCCTATCTCCACAAACAGCCACATTCTGAGGTACTGGTCATTAGGGCTTCAACATCAGGAGTTTGGGGGCATGTAAGAAGGGGGAAATTTAGTCAGCAACCACTTTTTAAAATTGTAGTGAGTGTTTGAAGAGGCCAAGGCTATTTCCTCTGTTCACTCTCATAAGCTATCTATCTCATATTTATGTATTTTATATGAATAACAGCACCCTTACAATACTCCATTACAGATCCAGGAGTAGCAGAAGTCTTTTACACGCACCAGCAAGCAACAGGGGGAAAGTTGGTTACTTTGCACTTTAGAAATCTTATTGAATGTCAAGTTTTCTGTTACACTTCGTATTTCTTCATAGAAGTAAAAATGTTATTATCTAATACAGAAAATCTTGGTAGATGACATTTTATATGTAATACTTATTTTATATTCACAATTACGTTGTCTTCACATATGCGATTCAAGCACATATATGACCTGTCATGTGGTACCTAATGTAACGTAGCACAGCTAGGAATAGAATGCTTTCGTATCTTGCAGATTGTGCATGGGTGGTTTTCTAATTTTGTCCTGACTAGTGCAGTTCCTAATATTTTGAACATCTTTCTAGTCCACAGTGAGCATTTATCCTTTAATAAGCAGGTGTACTTTCTGTAATACCTTCTAGAAGTACTTTGGCATCACATCTGGAATATGATTTCTACCGAAACAAAGCTACGTTCTCTTTTAAATATGTTGAATTAATAGTCTCCTCCTTAGTAAGACTTCTTGATACATGATAAGGTTTGATTTCTACTGAAGGCTTTCTGTCACTGTAATAATTTAGTGGAAGATATTCCCACATTAATTTACTTTTTAAGAAATGTTTTCACCCTGGCCGGTTTGGCTCAGCGGTTAGAGCGTCGGCCTGCGGTACAGAGAGACCCGGGTTCGGTTCCCGCTAAGGGCATGTACCTCGGTTGCAGTTTGTCCCCGGCCCTGGTTGGTCGTGCGGGTGGCAGCCACTCGATGTGTCCCTTTCACATCGATGTTTCTCTCTCTCTCTCTCTGTTCCTCTCTCTCCCTCCCGCTCTATCTGAACAAAAAATGGAAAAATGTCCTCGGGTGAGGATAAAAAAAAAAAAAAGAAATGTTTTCTTTCCCTGGCTGGTTTTGCTCAGTGGTTAGAGCATTGGCCCCCGGACCAGAGAGTCCTGGGTTTGGTTCCTGCTAGGGGCACGTACCTCGGTTGCTGTTTGTCCCCAGCCTCGGTTGTGGTCGTGTGGATGGCAACCACTCAATGTGTCTCTCTCACATCAATGTTTCTCTCTCTCTCTTGCTCCCTCCCTCCCACCCTCCCTCTTACTCTATCTGAAGATAAATGCTAAAATGTCCTTGGGTGAGGATTTAAAAAAAATGTTTTCGTTATGAGGCCTCTGATGTCGACAGAGGGGTGAGCTGTGTCTGAAGGCTTTCCCACACCGATGACAAGCATAGGGTTTACCTTCTGTATGAGTTCTATGATGTATAATAAGACCAGACTTCTCAGAAAAGGCTTTCTTACAGTCATTCCATTCACAAGTTTCCTCCCAATATGGATTTTCTGGTGTCTAGTAAGGCAGGACACTTCATTGAAAGCTCTCGCACACTTGGTGCATACATAAGTTCTCTCTCCCATGTGCATCTTCTCGTGTACAAAGAGGTATAAATTCATGTGGAAGGCTCTCCCACATACATCACACACACAGGCTTTCTCTGCAGTATGAGTTCTCTGATGAAGGTTGAGGTGTGATTTTTGGGAAAAGATTTTCCCACACTCATTACATTCATAAGGTTTCTCCCCAGTGTGAATTCTCTGATGTTCAATGAGGTGTGAGTTATGAAAGAAAATTTTCTACATTCAGCACACTCATAAGGTTTCTCTCGTGTAGGGATTCTCACATGTACAACGAGATTTGATTTCTTGCTGAAGGCATTCCCACACTCAGTACATTCAAAGGGCTTTTCTGCTATGTGAGTTCTCTTATGTATAATGAGGTCTGATTCTGAAAAGGCTTTTCCACATTCACTCTTTCTTGCATATCTTCTATTGCCACTGGATAAGTTTAAATAGTTTGAACTCCTACCTTAAGAGTTGCATTTAAAAAAATTTTTTTTAAATCCTCACCAGAGGATATTTTTTTTTCTATTTATCTTCAGACAGAGTGGGAGGGAGAGAAAGGGAGAGAGAGAGAAACATCAACATGAGAGGGACACATCAACTGGTTGCCTCTTTCACGACCCCGACCAGGGCTGGGGACGAACTGCAACTGAGGTACGTGCCCTTGGCTGGAATCGAACCCGAGACTCTTTGGTCCGTGGGTGGATGCTCTACTGCTGAACCAAACCAGCCAGGGCAAGAATCGCATTTTTAAAGAAACAAAGTCTGTGCTCAGAAGAAATCTATTTCTAAGTGCATTACACTTACTAACCTTCTCCTCAGTCTCCTTTTCCCAGGTTCTGAATGCAGTGTTCTCCAAAAGTGTTTCTTGGTTCCTCTGGCGTCTCTTCATGTGATCATCAACTTGCCAGAATTCTTCTAGAAGGCATCAAAATAAACATATGTCAGTGACTATTCCTGCTAACGTATTGTGGCTCATAACTGTTTGTCCTGTTGTGACAGTGAATCTGGACTTGCAGGCCCAATGTCCATACATAAAGATCAAGACTAAATGAAATCTATCTCCCTGAGCTTTGTAAGAAAACCACAGCTTTTTTCTTTAATTGTAGTAGTAGACACAGAAACGGAGAATATAGTATGCCAATGGACACACATATATCTGGCTATATAAAAACAGGACTTTGCAACCTGAATGGAAATAACCCAAGGAGAAGTAAAAAAGAACAAAGAAGAACAGCTGCTATAGGGTCAGTGAGGAGAGCCTATCTAGGGGAATTAAAAGTGACTAGAGTGAAATGGTGATTAGAGAAAATAAAGAAAGGACTGGATGAAGAACAGAGAAATCTGAGCTAGAGCCCGGTCAACTCATTGGTGGAATGCTGTACATCATTGTTCACTCATCTCTTTGCTTCTAGTGCCTTTGAGCTCCTCTCCGAGACTGGTTTTATAAAACTATCAATTCCACTAGCAAATAGGAACACCATTATAACCAGTGCTTTAAAAAAACATATAATAGTAATTCATTCTTGTATGGGTGTGAGGGCCCAGGGATTCCTATACCCAGTAAGAGGAAAATAACCATTGGATAAGCCGAGTCTTACCTGCCCAGGGTTAGATTTACTACTGAGTTCTACCTTTTTTCTTTTTGTTAAGGATATTTTTTATGTTGATTTTTAGAGAGAGTGTGCCTTTGGGAATCAAACCGGAGACCTTTCTGTTCATGGGCCGATACTCAAACCCCTCAGGAAACACCACTAGGACCAGGGTTTTTTTTCTTAGATCTTTAAATAAGCAAGTTGCAAGTCTGAGAGTCTTCATGGAGAGGTAATGTGGGTAGCTTCTATCCAACAGCCAACAAGTACATGAATGCCCTAGGTCCAATAATCCTTGAGGCATTAAATTCTGCAAACCGTTATGTAATTGAGCTTGGAAATGGGTCTTTTCCCCAAGTGAGCCTTCAATGAAACCCCAGCCTGGGCCAGTACTTTGATTTATTAGATTTGTAGGAGACCATGAAGTAGGGGACCCAGATAATTCATGTCCCAATTCCTGACTCATCGGGAGACAATAAATGTAAGCAGCTACATTTCAGTACCCAGATAATAATATACTTTATAGATAACATTTTATTTGAGGTTTATTCTTCCATCATTTGCTTTTTTTTTTTTTTTTGCATTTTTTTTTTGTTCAGACAGAGTGGGAGGGAGAGAGAGGAAGAGAGAGAGAGAGAAACATCGACGTGAAAGCGACACATCGAGTGGCTGCCACCCACACGACCCAACCAGGGCCGGGGACAAACTGCCAACCGAGGTACATGCCCTTAGTGGGAACCGAACCCGGGTCTCTCTGTACCGCAGGCCGACGCTCTAACCGCTGAGCCAAACCGGCCAGGGCCTATCATTTGCTTTTTATTTTATTTTTTATTTTTCCTGTGTGTGTGTGTGTGTGTGTGTGTGTGTATTTCCTTTTTATCTTTATTGTTGAATGTATTAGAGATGTTCCTCATTTTTCCCCTCATTGAGCCCCTCCTCCCCACTCCCGCCCCCCTCCTGCCTTTTCCCACACTGTTGTCTGTGTTCATGGGTTACATATAAATATTTTGGTTTATTTCTTTCCACTCCCCAACCCCCTGCCCTTTGAGGTTTGTCAGTCTAGCAACCAATTTGTTCTTCTTAATCCCTTCACCTTTTTCACCCATTCCCCCAACCCCCCTCCCATCAGGTAACCAATAAAATGTTCTCTGTATCTATGAGAATGTTTCTGTTCTGCCTGTTCATTTTGTTTGTAGATTCAATTGTCAATAGATATGTATTCATTGCCATTTTGTTAATTCATATATTTTATCTTCTTCCTCAAAAAGACCCTTCAACATTTCATATAATAACGGTTTGGTGGTGATGAACTCCTTTAACTTTTTCTTGTCTGGGAAAGTCTTTATATGGCCATCGATTCTAAATGACAGCTTTGCAGGATAGAGTAATCTTGGTTGTAGGTTCTTGCTTTTCATCACTCTGAATATTTCTTGCCACTCCCTTCTGGCCTGCAAAGTTTCTTTTGATAAATCAGCTGACGGCCTTATGAGAACTCCCTTGTAGGTAACTAACTGCTTTTCTCTTGCTGCTTTTAAGATTCTCTCTTTGTCTTGAACCGTTTGCATTTTGATGATGATGTGTCTTGGTGTGGGCCTCTTGGGGTTCATCTTGTTTGGGACTCTCTGTGCTTCCTGGACTTGTATGTCTGTTTCCTTTACCAAGTTAGGGAAGTTTTCTGCCATATTGTCAAATAGGTTTTCTTGTTCTCTCTCTTCTCCGCCAAGAGGCGAATGTTGGCACACTTGAAGTTGTCCCCGAGGCTCCTTACACTCTCCTCATTTTTTTGGATTCTTTTTTTCTTTTTGCTGTTCTGATTGGGTTTTTTGGCTTCCTTATATTCCAAATCAATGGTTTGCTTCTTGGCTTTACCTACTCTACTATTGAATCTGTGTAAATTATTCTTTATTTCAGTTAATGTCTCCTTAATTTCTGACTGTGCATCCTTCATTTTTGACTGGTCCTTTTTTATGCTCTTGGGCCCTCAGTAAGTTCACTGAGGTTCTCACTAAGTTCATTGAGCATCCTTATAAGCAGTATTTTGAACTCAGCATCTGTTAGGTTGCTTATCTCTATTTCACTTAGTTCTTTTCTTGGGGGTTTGTTCTGTTCTTTCATTTGAGACCTGTTTCTTTGTCTCCTCATTTTGGCTGCCTCCCTGTGTTTGTTTCTATGTATTACTTGAGTGGTATGGGGTTAGCTGAGACCAGATGCTGCTTGTTTGAAAGAATTTAGGAAGCCCTGGCCAGTTTGGCTCAGCGGTTGAGCATCGGCCTGCAGACCAGAGAGTCCCAGGTTCGGTTCCCGCTAGGGGCACGTACCACCAAAAAAAAAAAGGAAGAAAGAATTTAGGGAAACCTGAAACAGGATCCAAGAGAGGCCAATCCTATGGTTAAGCAACTGGAAACAGCTTGGGTGGGCCTGAAAGTTGGTGGGACGGGGCCTCAGGGAGTCACCAGGGCGGGGCTACCAGCGTGAGCCCGGTTGCTGGAGTCCCAGATATGGCAGCTGTCTGCCGCCCCAGGGAAGGGCTCCCCAAAGGAACAAAGGCCTCTGACAGCACATTTGTTCAGGAGAAAGCCCCCTCTCCAGCCCTCGCTCTAATGCCAATCAGCTCAGTTCTTCCCTGTATGTCTCTGGCGCCCCTCGAGCTGCCTCCCCTCCAAGCTTAGAGGGAGTGAGTCTGATAAGTTCATGCGCGGGCCCTTTAAGGAGCTGCCTGGGGCTCCAGCCACTTCAGCTTCCCTGAGCCTCAGTTCCCGCTGGTTTTTCCAGCCAGAAGTTATGAGGACTCTCTTCCTGGCACTGGAGCCCTGAGCAGGGCACCTGGTGTGGGAGGGGGACCCCTCAGTCCTCAGGGACGACCTTCCCAGCTGAAGTGTCCTCCTGATTTTTGTGCGCCACACGTGGGTGTGGGCCCAGCCTGTCCACCCCCACTCCTTCTACCAGTCTCGATGTGGCTGCTTCTTTAATTCCATAGTTATAGGACTTTATTCAGCTTGATGTCAGGTGGTTTTGAATGATGGTTGTTCAGTAGTTTAGTTGTAACTTTGATGTGGTTGTGGGAGGACGTGATACCTCGTTTACCTGCGCAGCCATCTTGACTGGAAGTCTGCTTTTTATTTTTAATGTAAACATATATTCATCCTCATTATTCACAGATTCTCTATCTGCAAAATTACTTACTTGCTAAAATTTATTTGTAACCAACAAAATCAATACTCGCAGTGTTTTTGCAGTCATTAACAGACATGCGCAAAGCAGCAAAATATCTGAGTTGCCCCAGGCACACATTTCCAGCTGGGGCTGAACAAGGGATGCGCTCCCTCTATTCCAGCTCCCAGACAGGGCTGACCACAGGATGGAGACCGCAGGGGCGGCACAGTGTAGTGCAGGGAAGGCCAGCTCTGGGACCCGTGGATGGAGTTTGACTCCAACTCTGGCACCTGTTAGTGGAGTGACCGCAGGTAAGTCCCTTAAAGCTTGTGAACCTCATTTTCTCTTTTGTAAAATAAAGAAAATAGAATCTGCCAGGATGGGTTGATTTTAAGAATATAATCGTAATTACACAAAGTAAAATTCATGCAGTTGTAATTTAAGATTGTAATCTATGTGATATATATGTAGTATGTATATATACATGTGTGTGTGTGTGTGTGTGTGGGTGGGTGTGTGGGTGTGCATGTTTCCCCTAGGAGCAATGCTTCAGGATTTACTAATTCTGTGTATGCAGACTATAACTATCATGAATAACAAGAATTGACTATATATTCACTCATTTTCACATTTCAAAAAATGGAAGGGTAATAAACTATTTCACTTTCTTTTTTTCACATAACTTTATATTCTCAAGTTCACTCTATATTGTATATAGAGGTAATTCTTTCTGTCTCTCATAGTGAAATAGTACTGTTTTTGTGTGTGCCATAATTTATACAACCAGACCTCTGTTAGTAGATGTTTGGGTTGATTGCTATCTTCTGGTATTAAAAATGGTACTGCAATGGATAATGTTTGAATATATAAATATTTTTTGCCAATGTGTCTTTTTGATATATATTCCTGGAAATAGGGTTTCTGAATCAAATGGTAAAAGCTATATAGTGTTGTGGTTTTAGAGATAAACATGCATATATTTGATAATCCTCCCCTTAAAATATGGAGCTCAATTCCCATTCCCATTTAACAAACAGTACAGAAGAAGTAATAAATTATGACTTCCACTTTAGGTTATAAAAAGACTGTGGCTGCCCTGGCCAGTTTTGCTCAGTGGTTAGAACGTTGGCCTGCGGTCCAGAGAGAACCAGGTTTGGTTCCCGCTAAGGGCACATACCTCTGTTGCAGTTTGTCCCCGGCCCTGGTTGGGTCGTGCAGGAGGCAGCCACTCCATGTGTCCCTTTCACGTCGATGTTACTCTCTCTCTCTCTCTCTCTCTTCCCACTCTATCTAAACAAAGAATGGAAAAATGTCCTCTGGTGAGGATTAAAAAAAAAAGTGTAAAAGCTTGGTGTAAGGTCCAAAGGTTATGATTACAATGATGTCTCATTGGTTTATTTTAAAAATCAAATGACTTTTTTTCTCTGACTCCAACCTTGTCATCACTCTCTCCCCCGTCTCCATCTCCCTCTGTCCGGGCCTCCTGTGTTCTGTCCCTTGGATTCCCACTTCTGCTCCTTCGCCTCCCGTTTGTGCTCTTCTGCCTCCTGTCTCTGCCTCCCCCTCGCCCCACTGTCCCTGCTTTCTCCTAGTCTCTGGGGCTCTCCTCCCTCGTTCTGTGCCTGTCTCCTCTTCTGTCTCGTTTTCCCGTCAGTCGGCCTCTGCGGCTACTAGTGCACTAGTAATTTTCCGTAGAGAATTCCTTACAATCGTCTTTAGCATTAAATTCGTTATTCCTGTATCTCTCCTTCCCCGGCCACCCGGGTCCCTCTTCCATCCCTCGCACCCTCTTTCCTGCGGTGGAGGCTCCGGAGGGACTGCACCGCCCACCTCCCACCCCTCCCAGCGGTAGACGCGCAGGGGGCTGTACCATTACAAACACGTAGTCAGCCCCCAGAAGATGTTCCTGTTCCAAAGTCTCCCTCCCTCCTGCACCTCGCAGCGTCCCCGTGCTCCTGCGAGACCTCTCGGCACAGCTCGCACCCGCGGGACGTGTCCTCCTCCACTCCGTCCCCTCCCCTCCCCGCGGGTGGCGCAGCCCAGCCTCTGCCGGGAAGGAGGGGCCCTGCGTGTACGGAAGCAAGTGCACGGAGCCCGATGGCGATGGCGGCTCCCGCGCGCGGAGCGTGGGCGCGGCCACATTGCCTCCTGGACAAAGGCGCGAGGGTGCGCAGTGGGCAGAGCTGCCCGGGACGGTCGGCGCAGCCTCGGAAGCCCCGGCTCTGCCCCCCCAGACAGGAAGCGAAGGCTCATCAGTGAGGATGTGACCGCTGTCCCGGGTTAAGCCGGGACTGGCCTTTGGGGACGTGGTCACGCAGCCCCAGGTCGGAAGGCAGACGCCTGCGGTGAAGAGTTATCTTGGACTGGCAATGAGAAGTGAGGGGTCCGTGAGGGTCAGTGACTGCAGGTTGCAGAAGTCATGACGGAGAAGGAAAGAGGGATTGGGGTTGGGTTTCTGTGGGAGGCAGGGATGGTGTGAGCTATGAGATTAGTAATTGGGGAGTGATGTGTCAGTGATGGGGTTGTCTGTGGGGTCAAAATGGCGCGTAGGGGGACACACTGGTGGGGATGACTTAGGTCGGTGATTTTGGGGACGCCGGAGAATCAGTGATTGGTGAGGGGGCTGTGGACTGAATGACAGGGGCGTCCATGCGGTGGTCAGTGCTGTGATGAGCATAGGGGGTTTCTGTCAGGTGTGTGATTGCTAGGCCCAAGGATTCAGCTATTTGGATGAAGCAGTAATGCTATCAGGGTATCATGGTGACCAGCCCTAAATTACTGGGAAAGGTTTTTACATACATTAAAACTTCCACAGGTTATGGGCAACTGTTGCGTTCTTAAAGGTCAAACCCCTTCTCAATCCATCATTGCACACTTAATCTGGTGGTTCCCACAGAAATGACCATGTTAAAACAAGACCAAACAAAAAGGATAGGGTTATTATGGAAAGGGTGATTTCAGTCCTACTTCTTTCTAAGCTTATTGAAATCATTATATATTTTATTCAAGAAACATTTATTGAGCACCTGCTGGTTGCCCAGAGCTTAGTAAGATGATTTCTCCTGATTTTCCTTCCAGATCTGTTTTGATAAAGTCTCCCTGTCATGGGATCACTCACTTCCTCCGAACCAGTTCAGTCCTGTCTGTATGACTCCTCCTGGAACTGAGGAAAATTTACCAGGTATGTACCTTCCTGCGTTGAGGCAATAAAAATTGAAACAGAAAACCTGTTGAAATGAACACTTACATCCATGAATATTCGTTGGCAGGAGAGTTCACTGAGTTGAGGGAAAATATAATAGAGTATTGGAATTCAATTGCTGGTTCTTTCTGAAAAATAAAGGAATACATTTCTTAGTTTTCCATTTGGTCATTGCCATTCTTATTGCCAGGAACTCCATCTACAGTTAAATCTTTATAGAGATCTATACATGTTAATTGCCTTATGAAAACATTGAACAATATAATTGCTTGTTCCCAGAGGGAGAGTAAGTTGTTAGTAGATCAACATGTAACATCTTCACATCTGTACAGTTAAAAACCCTTGTCTAACTTCTGTGTGATCATAGTATAGTCACAAGAGGACTTCCTTCACATGGCGCTTGCTGAACATTCTGTAAGGTCCGGACAACTTTCTCCCACAGGTTGGCCTGTCATCCACCCACTTCTGGTGGTAGTTGTTTCTAGACGGGTGAACATGGAAGCTGCAGTCTGGGTCTAGTCTGTGAAATGTCCTTCTGATCACCACTTTGCTTTTTCAGGTATCTGTTCTTTTAGAGGAGAGCAGAAAATGATGAAATCCCAGGTGAGCTGCTTTTAATTTTTAAAGTTTCCTCCTTGGTTTTCCCATATACTCAGATAGAAAAGTAAAAATAGCTAAAATTGGATTAGGGAAAAGGTAGCCAAATAAAGATCAAGACCTAGGAAGACTTGCTAGGTAATATATAGATATCCTGGCGTGAAACCATTTACAAAAATTGATGTACCAATTTTTTCTAATCTCTCTTGCAGACATCTTCAGTTACATGATTTGCAATTCTCTAAAGAGAAAGCAGATAAATTTCCCAGGGGAAGAAATGATTTCTTGCTTTATAAGACTAAACCTTCCTATTTAGGTCTTTGTCTGGAACTAGGTGATGTGATACAGTGTTGTCCCCAACACTCCTGGGTTAAATACAATGTACATTTATTGTAGCTGTATCATAAAATGCTCTCTTCTAGAGGGAAGGTATCAGTGTCACAGCCATACTCCATGAACTTTTATTTTTTCTAGCTAGGGGTATGAAACTATTACCTGTGGGCCAAATCCAACTTTTTTAAGCAAAGTGTTGGTGGCAGCACAGCCATGCCTGTCGCTTACGTGCTATCCAGGTCTGTGTTCTTGCTGCACTGGTAGAGCTGGTAAGTAAACAGAGACCACACAGCCTGCAATGCTGAGAACATGTGCTTCCTGAAAAAGTTTGTTGACCTCTGCTTCAGAGGACCAGGTTGAGTGCAGAGGCTTCCTATTGTCCAGCTGTATCCAGCACTAAAATCAAGATAACGCATAGGATCGTTTTTTCTGTATTTAAGAGTTAGCTGTTATTTTTACATCATCATTATTATTGTCAAATCTTGAAGTCAGCTTTTGAATTCGGAGTCCTTACGGATATTTTATAATGGAGCCTAACAACTGAGTTCTCTTGTGAAAAGGTAGGACTTTTTTCCCTCTTGGATGCCAGTAACTTTAGAGCTGTGTGTCCAATACAGAGCCGTCAGCCACATGTGGTTATGGAGCACTTGAAATTGGCTTGTCTCTCGGGAAAGGTGCTGTAAGTGTAGAGTTGGGAACAGGATTTACAGGTTACTGAACTTTGGATCATGCTGGGTTTTGAAGATGCAATTTTAACTCACTAATAATTTTTAAAAGTTAATTATATGTTAAAATCAGGGTTTGAATATAATGAGATAAATATAGATTAATGAAAAAAAATATTCGAACTTGGCCGTTGTAACTTCTCACTCTCATCTCCCCCATCTCTCCCATTTTCCCAGTCATCCAAGCTGTAAAAATTATTTATAGTTGACAAAAGTACAATTTCCCACTGATTGTGCATGATATTTTTCTCAAAAGTAACAGGTTTTATATATATTTAGTTAACTAAAATATTCAAATACCATTAATAAAGCAAAACCTGAATGCTAGAATTATATCTATTAATTTTTCTATCAGAATAGATATCCTGTACCTTCCATATTTATCTTTTTCATGCTGATCCTCTTCAGATCAAAATAATATAATTGACTAAGGCACACAATATATTTATATCTGTATCTAGCTGTCTACACACACACACATATATGTATATATATTTTTAATCCTCTCCTGAGGATATTTTTGCATTGATTTTTAGAGTGGAAGGGAGGGAAGGAGGGAGAGAGAGAGAGAGAGAGAAAGAGAGAGTGAGAGAGGGAGAGAAACATCGACGTGAAAGAGACAAATCGATTGGCTGCCTCCCTCACGTTGGGGTCCAGGGATTGAACCTGCAGTTGAGGTACATGCCCTTGACCGGGAATTGATCCCAAGACTGTTCGGTCCGTGGGCCGAGGCTCTAACCACTGAGCCAAACTGGCCAGGGAACAAAAAAATATATTTTTTTTAATCCTCACCTGGGGGCATTTTTCCTTTTTTTTTTTTTTTGTACAGATAGAGTGGGAGGGAGAGAGAGGGAGAGAGAGAGAAACATCGACGTGAAAGGGACACATCGAGTGGCTGCCACCCACACGACCAACCAGGGCCGGGGACAATCTGCAACCAAAGTATGTGCCCTTAGCGGGAACCGAACCTGGGTCTCTCCGGACCGCAGGCCGACGCTCTAACCGCTGAGCCAAACCGGCCAGGGCGGAACAAAAATATTTTGAACTTAACATGAACTTTATTCTCTCTAGCATCTTCACTCATTTTTTTAATCCTCACCAAGAACATGCTTATTGATTTTAGAGAGAGGGGAAGGGGGGTAGAGAGACAGAGACAATGTGAGAGAGAAATGTCAATTGGTTACCTCCTGTGTACACCCCAACTGAGGATCAAACCTTCAACCTTTTAGTGTATAAGATGATGCTCCAATTAACTGAGCCACCCGGCCAGGGCAGCAAACATTTCTTGAGTACCCAGTATGTGTCCTATGCAATGGCTAGCTATCTCAAGAACATTTCGGCATGGTTCTTTGCTGGAAGGAATGAGGAAGAAAAAGGGGTAAACTATGTGGAAACCATCACTGCCATGTAGACATGAGAACAAGGAACGGGTACAGCAGAGAGCAACTAGTGTTGTAAGCAAGTGGGAACAGGATTAAAAGGTTATTTCGATCATGAGGGAAGGTACGGTGAGGATGGGAAACAACATTTGCAAAAGGAAAAAGAGCAGAGTGATTTCAGGAAGGCTGAGAATTTGAGGAAAACTAAAGTGCAAGGTGTCTCATGGAAAGCTTGACCAATGATGATGTGAAAGTCATAAAATATGAAAGATCTTGTTTACAATATCAAGGAGGTAGTGGTCAAGAACCCAAACTATTGAATCGGAACACTTGCTTTTAAATCTTAGTTAAGCAATCATATAGTCAGTGTACAGCCTTGGCAAGTAGTTAGCCAAGCCCTGTAAACTTCAGTTTGCTCAAATGTAAAATGGGAGAATTAATAGAGTCGTCATGAGGATAAACTAAATGCTTGGCAGCTTGATGGTCTGAACATGGGACGTGGTGTAGGATGAGAGAACCTGTAAGACTGAGATGAGACTATTTGTGTATTTAAGGATGGGACCAAAGCAGGCTTTTTAAGCAGGGAACTGATGATATTTGAAACAATATTTAATTTGTTTTCATTCTGAAAGCAACATTTGATAATAATGGAATATTTAGGGAAAAACCTGAAAAGTTGTTTAAAATAATACAAATCATTCAGATTCTATTAGATGACAACTATTGTGAACATATGACGACATAATTAGAATACTCAGTTCTCCCTCCAGAAATACTTTCAGGCTATGTACACAGCGGAGTCCTTAATGCCACGTCAATACTTTGTGGGAGGGTTTTTTTCTCTTTTTTCGTGTGTGAATGTTTCCTGCACATTTCTTTAATTTGTTCTTCAGTATTGCTGTTTCAATTGATGTATTTCATTATATTGCTAGCTATTGAGTACATAAAGTACAACTGTAGCTAAGATTATTTTTCTATGAAATGTGGGGATTTGATTATTATCAAGAACTCTAATTTTCTGTGATTCGCTAAATTTTATACTTAAAAAAGACTTTTTTTCCTCTATAATTATTAATAAAAATTCTCTCGTGTTTCTTTTTTTGTTACTTTTATGGCCTTGAGTATCTTACACAGTTTAAATTTAGCTTCATCCAGAATGTACTTTTTCAGTTTTCTAAGACATAAGTAAGATATGGTGTGTTAGTCTGCTTGGGCTGCCATAACAAAGTACCACAGACCGGGGGTATTAAACAGCAGAAATGTATTATCTCAGTTCTGGAGGCTACAAGTCAGAACTCAAGGTGTCAGGAGGCTCGGCCCCTTCGAAGGGCTGTGAGGGAAGGACCTGTCCCGGGGCTCTCTCCTGGGCTGACAGATGAGCAGCTTCTCCCCGTCTCTTCAGACCATCTTCTCTCTGTCTGTCTGTCTTTCTGTTGAAGTTTCTCCTGTTGGTATGAGTCATATGGGATTAGAATGCACCCTAGTGACCTCATCTAACTAATTATATCTGCAATAGACCTATTTCCAAATAAGGTAATAATCTGAGGCCCTGGGGGTTAGGATTTCAACATATGAGTTTTCAGGGATATAATTTAACCTATAACATGTGGATTCAACATTATTCTTTTCCTGTTGATTACCTAGTTATTTTAATACTGTTCATGGAATAATCCATTTTCCTCCCAGTTATTTATATGCTGCCATTATCATTTATTAAATTACCATTTGTGCTAGGTAGACGGTTTATGATTTACCTCTTCTGTTTTCCTAACCTGTCCGTCTCTTTCTGCTAATGACAGGATTTTACATTGTTTCTCCCAAATATCCGGGTACAAAGCCAGGTGTAGGGATAGTATTGCATGCTCCAGTAGAAGTAAGAATGATCACTGCAGATTGAACAGGAATATACTGTTACAGGGCTTAGTGTCATTCAAGGATGTGGCTGTGGATTTCACTCAGGAGGAGTGGCAGCACCTGGACCCTGCTCAGAGGACCCTGTACAGGGACGTGATGCTGGAGAACTACAGCCACCTGGTCTCAGTGGGTAAGGACCACTTTCTGTGTGACTCAGACTTGTGCAAGCAAATGCCTTTCTTGTCAGTTGCTGTGGTTAGGTGGTTCCTGACACACAAAATGACTGTTATGACCGTCATGCCTTCCCCAGTGGCGGTCATTCCTCTGCCGAGGGCTCACTGCACTGCCTCCCTGTGGACAAACTGCACCTTCTCTTCTTCCCTCAGTGCAGTGTGCCCCACGTCCTCTGTGTTCCCATGTCGTAGGGCACCCAGTTTCCAAACCAGATGTCATCTCCAGGTTGGAACAAGGAGAAGATCCATGGATCATTAAGGGAGACACATCACATTGGATTTATCCAGGTAAAAATCAGGCAGAAGGGAGACAAGGGAAGTGAAATATCAGCTTGTTTGTTTTGTTTTCTTTAAGGGATTGGTGCCTGAGGCCTATGTTTTTGTCTTCTTAAAATTTCTTATTCTTTGCTCCTGTGCTGAGAATCTAGTAGGCATTCAGCTAATAATCAATTAAATAATTGTGAGTCTTTATAGGGGGAGCTATTTCTTACTGATCCCCACTCTTTCATATGTGTGTATATACAACCTACTAGGCAACAGAAAGCACATAGGTTATACTCTAGAAGGTAAGACTTCCAGGTGCATGGCTGTAAAAATTAAATATCAAATATAGTTACTGTTTTTGAAAATTCAGAGAAAATTAGTATCTAAAGAGATGCATCAGAATTGAGAAGGCATTTTTTAGAGTATCCAGCAATAGCTGCTTTGAAAGATGTTAAGTATGGATGCCGAAGAAGGAGGATGAAGGCAAACGGTTGGAGTGTGGTGGCGTTGGTGAAGGGGAGGGGAGTATGTGAGTTAGGGAACTATGGCTCTTCTGGGGAACTTTGCTGGTTTTATTTCATACATATAGAAGATGAATGTACTGAATGTGGGAAAGTTATTTATGAGGAATGGTGGAATTCAAGCTTGGAGTTTTGGTGTGTATCTGATACTGAGTCCATAAAATCCATAACAGGATCTTGGATTTTCCTGTTGTTTGTGTTAGTTGTTAATTAGGAATGTAGACAGAGGAGAGTTAAAGAGACTGTGTTTCTTTGAATAGTAGTGGCAGGATAATAGTAGTTAAATATATATATATATATATATATATATATATATATATATATATATATATCTCAAATGGTTTATAAAATAAATGAATTACAAAAATGAAATGTGTTTTCATTCAGAGAGCAGGATAAATACGAAGATTCTAGAATAGTAATCCAAGATTAGAATAATAGTAACTCAAACACTTTTCTGTCTCTTTCATGTCTAGCTTTTCCATTAACGTTTCTCTTTAACATCTTTGTCTGCCCATTCACCTGATCATACTATATGCTGTATTGTCTATAAGATGGTCTGTTTCTATCCCTATTTTCAGAGTTCATCTACTAGGTTGGATTAATTATTTGTTTCACCTGTCTGTGTTCTGTTAACTGTTCTTTATGATTGTTTTATTTATCTTTCTTTTCTTTAGACAAGAAGAGTAACCTTGACAACCCTCAATCATGTATTTTGGGGTCTTTTTCCTTCCATAATAAGTCACTGAAAGGAGTCACAAAGGATGGTTCATTGTACTCCATTTTAAAAGTATGTCAAGGTGATGGCCAACTGCAGAGATGTCCAGAAAACCAAGACAGACTTTTCAGTCAAGTGACAGTTATCAGTAACAAAACAGTGACTGTGGAGTCAGGCCATAAATATAAGGCATTGGGGAAAATGTGTCAAGAGTTTGTAGAGACAGATTGTTCAAGAAAAAGACCCCATAACCACGATGCATTTAAGAAGTACTTGAAATCTAATATTGATGTACCTAGTTGTAATGAGATTGGTTCAAGAAAAATTCCTGATGAGAGTTTTCGATGTGGAAAATCATCTAGCCATGATGTGTCCAATTCTAATCTTGAGAAAATTCAAAATGGAGTGATACCCTGTGATGGTAAAAACATTTTGAACAATAAACAATCCCTTATTCATTATAAGAATACCGAAACTAAAGAGAAAACCTGTGTATGTGTTACATGTGGAAAAGGCTTTGCTAAGAAGTTACAGCTTATTGTACATCAACGAATTCATACGGGAAGGAAACCATATGATTGTGGTGCATGTGGAAAAACCTTCAGTGAGAAGTTTCATCTCATTGTACATCAGAGAACTCATACTGGGGAGAAACCTTATGAATGTTCTGAATGTGGAAAAGCCTTCTCTCAAAAATCATCTCTCATTATACATCAGAGAGTTCACACTGGGGAAAAACCATATGAATGTAGTGACTGTGGGAAAGCCTTCTCCCAGAAATCACCCCTCATTATACATCAGAGAATTCACACTGGAGAGAAACCTTATGAATGTAGAGAGTGTGGGAAGGCCTTCTCCCAGAAGTCACAACTGATTATACACCATAGAACTCATACTGGAGAGAAGCCATATGAGTGTGCTGAATGTGGGAAAGCCTTCTGTGAAAAGTCCCACCTCATTATACATAAAAGAATTCACACTGGAGAGAAACCCTACAAATGTGTTCAGTGTGCGGAAGCCTTCAGCAGAAAGACGGAACTCATCACACATCATTTAATTCATACTGGGGAGAAACCTTATGAATGTACTGAATGTGGGAAGACCTTCTCCAGGAAGTCACAGCTCATCATACATCAGAGAACACATACTGGAGAGAAACCTTATAAATGCAGTGAATGTGGAAAGGCCTTTTGTCAGAAATCACATCTCATTGGACATCAGAGAATTCACACGGGAGAAAAACCTTACAGGTGTACTGAGTGTGGGAAAGCTTTTTCTCAGAAGTCCCACCTGCCAGGACATCAGCGAATTCATACAGGAGAGAAACCTTACATATGTGCTGAATGTGGAAAGGCCTTTTCTCAGAAGTCAGACCTTGTTTTACATCAGAGAATTCATACCGGGGAAAGACCCTATCGGTGTGCTACATGTGGGAAAGCCTTCATCCAGAAGTCACAACTCACGGTGCACCAGCGAATTCATACCAGTGGTAAAATAATAATGAACTGAATACAGAAAAGCCTTTAGTATTAGCTCAAGCCTTAAGAAATACTAGAACCCTGAGTCAATTTATATGTTTGTGGAAGACATCATTATACACAAAATTTTACAGGAGAATTCATGTCTGTAGTGTGATGATAATTCAGAAAAGCTGATGGAAAATTCAATCAATGTGGCATGTAAAGCTTTTAAACTTATTAACTGAATGGTCAGTAGAACAAATTATATATACAGAGTGATGTCAAGTTACATATTCCTTATTATAGCACATAACAATAACATGACATTGCAAAATTGCTAATATTAGCTTATCATAATTTTGACCGTACACCCATACTCTATAAAGGACACGAAGAAAGCTTGAGTTAAAAAAAAAAAAAATCAACGTTTAGAAATTACATTGTAAGGAGGGTCCTAGCATGACCTTTAAAGATATATGTAAAATTCTTGTACAAAGATGGAAAGATAGGTTACTCAAATTCAATAAAGGTTATGTTTATGTTTTCCCATATCAATTCATATAAGTTGACTTGTATCTCTGGATGAATTCTGGACCTTGAAATTGATGTTTCTTGACCAGGTCTCCCCTTTACTCTCCCTCACTGGGAATGTGGAGTGGTAGAAAGACTTTGGTGCAGAACCATATGGTCTTGGGTTTAAATCCTGGCTCAACTATTTACAGATTATGTGACTTCGGGCAAGCCTGCTAAACCCCGTTGAATATTTTTTATTGCTGGTAAATAAAAGTGCAATGCAAAGCACACTTTTAGTTATTATTAGTTCTTTTTTTTTGTCCTCACCCAAGGACATTTTTCTATTTTTTGTTCAGATAGAGTGGGAGGGAGAGAGAGAGAGAAACATCGACGTGAAAGGGACACATCGAGTGGTTGCCACCCGCACGACCCAACCAGGGCCGGGGACAAACTGCAACTGAGGTACGTGCCCTAAGCAGGAACCAAACCCAGGTCACTCTGGACCGCAGGCCGATGCTCTAATTGCTGAGCCAAACCGGCCAGGGCTTATTCTTTTAAATCTTTACTTTCTATCCTACAAGAGGGTGCTAGACTAATTTTTAAAAGACATCTGCACTTGTACTTCAGACTCTCGCTTTTGATACCTCATTCCTATGACTGGTTCATTTTACTGTCTGGTCCTGGAGGCCTTGATTATTGGTATGTTAAAGTGACATTTTATTATATTGTTATTGTGTTTTGCATACACTTACATAAACTGTAGTGATTGCACACAAAGACCCTGTCTAACGTCTCTTCAGTTCCTGTCTGACCCCTGCCCCGCAGCCTCAACTGTTTTCCCTGAGGACCAAGAGCACTTACAGAAGAAAACTATTGGGATAAGAAATGCCTTGCCATAGATTTGAGACTTTGATATCACTAAATTATCTCCCACCCTCTTTCCTGTGGTTTTACCAGTTTGTTCACGAGCAGCTCTAGAGGAGGACCCATGCTGGAGGTGCCCTGCAGAGCATACCTGAAAAGGAGGAGGTATCTCTATGGATAAACATAGGTGACCCATGTTCACCTAGTTCTCACTTGATTCCTTCACGTTTCCTGCTCACCTGATCCCTTCTTGCACTGCTGAACTGTCCATTGTGAAAAGACAGGGCCCCTTCAGCTGAGAACCTCTTCAGGAGAGAGGGCACACCTGTCAGGGATGTGGAAACCTGTGTGGGCCAATTCCTGGTCTCTGAGACCAGGTAGCGAGCCGAGAACACTAACATCAGATAGAGTTGACCATTCAGACCTGGGAAAGAAGGCTTAGGGGTACAATTTATGAGTTAAGCCACTCAGAGGGTTCCTCGTGGAGGATGTCCCGAGTGGCCTTTATGAAGGCAGAAGGACAAGAGGTCACATTCGGAATACACAAAGTTAATGGAGAATTTATGGAGAATAATAAATTCACAATCTCTACCTTACAGGCCTCATTTGATCTTTTTACTGGCAGCCCCCAGGCAACCTCGTTGATCTGACAATGGGTTTCTCTAAAAATCCCACTTTAGAATTAGCATCTATGGTTTAACATGTCACGTCTCTTCAGCATTTACTAGAGGGGCTACCAGTGCAGTGGAGCAAGAAAGAGAAATGATAGGCATAAGGACTGGAAAAGAAAAAGTAAATGGACATTATTTGCAGGTGATACGATTGTGTATAAAGAAATATACTGACTAATTATTAGAACTAAAAAGTTTAGTTTTGTACAACTTTAATATTAACAAACCAGCAACAGTGAAAATTTAAAGATACCATTTATATTAGCATCAAAAATAGAAAACACCTAAAATAAATCTAATCACGAAGTGCAGGATCTCTACATAGAAACAACTAAATGCTGTTAGATCCTGGATAGGATCTTGGGGCATAAAAGGGGCTTTTAAAAAGTTTTAAAGCCCTGGCCAGTTTGGCTCAGCGGTTAGAGCGTCGGCCTGCGGTCCGGAGAGACCCGGGTTCGGTTCCCGCTAAGGGCACGTACTTCGGTTGCAGTTTGTCCCCGGCCCTGGTTGGTCGTGCGGGTGGCAGCCACTCGATGTGTCCCTTCACGTCGATGTTTCTCTCTCTCTCTCCCTTCCTCTCTCTCCCACTCTATCTGTACCAAAAAATGGAGAAGTATCCTCGGGTGAGGATAAAAAAAAAAAAAAGTTTTAAAAAATAGTGGAAAACTGATGAAATTTATATATGAGTTTTATATTCGTTAATAATATTATACTAATGTTAACTTCCTGGTTCCCATCATTGTACTATCTTTATGTAAGATGTTAACGTGAGGAGAAGCTGCGTGAGGGATATCTATTATATTTGGACACTATTATATTTGCAACTTTTCTGTAAGTCTAAAATATGTTTTTAAAATATGAGTATCTGTTTTGGCTTATTATATTAGTAATTAAAAGAAGTTATTCCCAATATCTGGCAAAGAACACAAGTTATGTGGTCAGACATAGCTTGAAATCCCAGCTCTGATGATGATGAAGAATTTATGGAGAATAATAAATTCACAATCTCTACCTTACAGGCCTCGTTTGATCTTTTCACAGGCAACCTCATTGATCTGATAATGGGTTTCTCTAAAAATCCCACTTTAGAATTAGCATCTACTGGTTTAACACTGCAGGTCACTTCAGTCCTCTGAGCCCCCATTTTCTTCGTCTGTAAAACTGAGATGACAATGCCTTAATGATAAAATTGTTATGAGCATTAGATATGACTGTAAAGTGCCAAGTGCACCACCTGGCACGGAGTAGGCAAGCAGCAAGATGAAGCTTTTCTTCCCACAGGAGATATCAATGAACTACACAGGCGAGTTGACCCTTGTGCCCTATGGAGACCATCATCCAGAGAGGAAAACAGCCAGATCATTTTAATATCACACGATGGCTTTCTCGTGGTACTTACCAATCTACCTTGCACAATCCACGATTTAGCATTTGTGACCCTCATGAGCAGATGAAAAAAGAACTGCAGTTCACCAGTGAACATCCTCATGCACATTTATTTTATTATTTTTTTATCCTCACCCAAGGACATTTTTGCATTTTTTTTTTTTTTTCAGATAGGGAGGGAGGGAGAGAGGAAGAAACAGAGAGAGAAACATTGACATGAGAGAGACATCGACTGGTTGCCACCCTCATGATCCTGGGACAAACTGCAACCAAGGTACGTTCCCTCAGCAGGAACCAAACCTGGGACTCTCTGGTCCACAGGCTGACGCTCTAACTGCTGAGCCACACCGGCCAGGGCCATGCACCTTTATTTTACACACTTTTGTTCATATGTCTGCAGAATACATTTCTAGAGGTGAGACTGCTGGCCAAGGAGTATGCCCATTTTGCCTTTTGGTAGCTACTAATACATTGTTGATGTATGCACAACCATGTTGATCTGCCCGTGACATACAAAATCAGTGCATGGCCGTTATGGGGAGAGACTGTGGTTAAAAACACAGTGCCTTCTCATAGTTAAAAATCACCCACATCAGATCTGACTGCCTGGGTTGGACTACTAAGTTTTCAAGAATAGATTTAGTGGTCATGATTCTGTAGAGGGCATTAGAACATTGGGTATGAGATTAAAGAAGCTGACATCTAAGGAATCTCTGAAATTCAGCCTTGGGAAAAACTCTCAAATGTAGCTCATTTGGCCCTGGGCCCTTCCATATGTGATGTGTTTTCCAGATGAGTCTCAGAAAGCATCAAAGACTTTGCAAGACCAGTCTTTGGCTCCCCTCCCAAAGCACCCTGGCTCCAGCTTCTAGAGTTTCTGCTAAGTCTTAACCTCAGGAATCTGCTTTCCTTTTACCTCAAAGACAGGTATGTACATTGTGCGCTCAGTGAAATGGCCTGAGTATTATTGTAACACTCCACTGGTGGTCCCAGGAGGTAAATGAGGTTTTTACAATAAGCAAAAAGATGTTCTCTTGCATCAGAAGGGAGACACAGCTGAAGGTAAAAAGAGCAGCCAGTGGCAAAGCTTGACATCAGATGGAGGTGGCCAACTGCAGATGTTTGGCTATGATTCTGGGGCTCTGTGGAGAAGCTGGGCTGATGGTAGAGATTGGGAAGTCCTTAGCAGTAGGTGAGACCAAGAGATGGATGAGTTCACCAGAGACAGGGGAGAAGAAACAGAACTCAGGAAGGAAACAGAACAATCTCTGAAATGAAGAAACCAGGAGGATTGGTTGTCAATGGTGCCAAGAAGGAGTTTCTAGTAGGAAGAAGTGATCAGCCACATCAAACAGCAAGAAAGTTCTGATTATGCAAAAGCCAAAAAAAGAAAATAGCTCAATTCGAGCAGTGCCAAGACAGCCGTGACCCTAGGCTGATATCACACAACAGCAGCCAGATGTCAGCCTCATTTATCATTTATTTCACTGGCTCACACTCAAACATTCTTCTCTCAAGTGCTCAGCCATTCAAATTATCTTGTCTCCCCACCTCCCCTTCAAAGTTTAAACCATTTTTTATGGAGCCCTGACCAACTCTGAAATTACAGAAACACAGTGGATGTCTTTCTATATTCTTCGCTCAGTGCCTTTTCTAGTTGTTACTGTCACCTCAGAGTCAGCCCAGGCCAGGGAAGAGGGGGGGAGGGTAGGTCATGGCACCTACAGGTGAAAGTGGATTATCCCACTGAGGGGTTTACCTCCCAGAGTTTGGGACTATCTTTTTCCTTTCATCTCTCAGTAAAGCCAATGCCCATCTTGGTGTCATGAAGTCATGCTTGTTGTAACAGGGTGGTGCCCTTGCCACTGCCATTGCCTCTTTGCTCAGCTGTGGTCTTGATGTGATGCCTGTACACAAACTGATAAGGATCTGTTGTGTGCAAAGGTTTTGATGGCTCGGTATCTTAGACCACGCCGTGTACAGGGAATGGGGGATGCTGTATTGTATAAGGTCCCCAGTGAAGTGGGATGGGCTGGAATTTTGAAGGAACACAAACATTCAGAACATAGCAGATGATGTGAGCAGAAACAACTTGGAGGAATCAAGGGAGGAAACATTTACCCACCGCCTCCATTTGTCCTATACAAAAGTATCTTAACATGGGGTCCATTGGGCCCTTGGGAGTCTGCAGATAGAATTCAGGGAGTTCAGGGACTTAAATGGGGTTAAATATTTCCTATTTTTGATATAAATTTAAAGGATTTATTTAGCAAGCATTTATACGGTGTCTACTATGTGCCAGTCACGATCCT